TTTTTTATAGTAGAGTAATTTTTCTGGCAATCATTCAAGTGGACGGATGTGTATTGAAGAATTTGCTCTTTGTCATCTTAAATTTGTTTGAGAATTTCACCATAACCTAGGTCAGAGGCATCAATCTTGACTATCTTTGGAGCTAATGAGTTGGCTAGATAGAAGATGGGAATGGTCTGAACCTGCTTCTTAATATGTTTGACTAGGTTGGTATGGAGGTCGAACCAAGGAATGGGATTTATTTTTAACCTGTCATGTAAAGGTTTGGCTAGACGGCTAATATTGGGGTAGTAGTCTAGAACATAATTAAGACTGCCTAAAAACCTTTGTAATTGGGTTTTATTGGTGATCTTATCAGGAAATTCATTTGTAAAGGTAAGAGACATCTCTATTGGCGTTACAGTGCCTTGGCAAATATAATAGCTTAGGAAACAAACACGAATTTGGAAGAGAGAAATTTTTGTTTTAGAAACAACTAAACCATTTTGTTTTACAGTATGGAAAAAAGTATGTAGTTGTTTGAAATGTTGATATATGGAATGTGAAAAAATAAGTACATCATCAATGTAAATAATGCAAAATTTTGAGTGTGCATTAAAAATGTCATTCATGATGAGTTAAAATTTAAATGGAGCATTTTCTAGTCCAAATGATATTATATTCCATTCGTATTGGCCAAAAGGAACTGTACAAGTAGTCTTGTATCTATCTTTAGGACCAATCTGGATTTGCCAAAATCCAGATTTCATATCAAACTTAGAAAATATGAATCCAGAATGTAATTTTTGTAACAAATCTTTTTTGTTGGGGATTGGATATTTGATCCATTTAAGAGTAGAATGTAGAGGTTTGTAATTAATCACAAGTCTTGGTGTGCCTCTTTCAATTTCAAAGTTTTTATTCATATAAAAGGCTGCACACGACCAGGGTGATCGAGATTTTTGGATAAGACCTTTAGACTCGAGATCGTGGATTTCAAGTCTGCAATGTTATTCTAAATCAACATTTATTTGTATAGGTCTTGCTTTTATAGGTATTAATTTTTCTGAAAAAGTATCTTCATAG